ATCGCAGCACCACGCGCGTGCGCCCCCGGCCGCGCGGCCGGGCGGACCGGTACGTCTGAGCTGCCGCCCGAGAGCATCACGGCTGCCGGCGGGGCGACCCTCGGGGAGGCTTGCCCCTGCCTGCTAGGGAGGCCTCGAGAGCCAGCGCTGCGATCAGAGTACAGCTCGGCGCAATTTCCACGGGAAGGCACCCTAACATGTACTGAGCAGCCAAGGCGAAGGGGAGGGCTGAGGACCAGGAGGTGGGCTCTGGGTGACATCTGTGAGAGCACGGCCAGGTGCACCTCGATGTTTTGCCTGCGACGGCTCGTGGCCGCGCAGACCCACGAGGAGCAGCGAGCACCGCGGTGAGGGCACGCTTCTTGAGCACACGGCAGGCGAAACCGGCTGCCGGAGCGGCTGCCCGGACTGGGCGGTCTGGGGCTCCCCAACCCCCGTCGTGGCACTCCTCTGTGGCTTTGTCCTCCGCAGCGAAGCGCTGCGCAGGGGAAAAAACACCACGCGAGCCCCAGGCCCACCACATTCTGCAGCACTTCTCGAGCCGCATCGATCCGTGGTGGTCCCAGGGCCCGAAGCGGAGCGAAATTGCCTGGCGTCGTGAAGAGATGGCAAGGCCCAGATCTCGGGACCGACGTGGGGCCTCCAGTGGACAGGGGGAGGAGGAAGGAAGGAAGGAGCACCGCTGGCAGCAAGAGTGCCACGTGGAGAACGAGGAGGAGGAGGAGGAGGAGGAGGAGGAGGAGGAGGAGGAGGAGGAGGAGAGGAGGAGGAGGAGAGAGGAGAGGAGGGAGGAGGGGAGGAGGAGAGGAGGAAGGGGAGGGGGGAGAGGCGGAGGAGGAGGAGGAGGAGGAGAGGGAGCAGGACGAGCAGGACGAGCAGGACGAGCAGGACGAGCAGGAGGAGCAGGAGGAGGAGGAGGAGAAGGAGGCTGCCGGCTGTCCGCCTGCACCGATCCTGGCTGGGCCGATCACGGGCGCAGGATCTGAATGCGTGTGCCTTCGTGGTCCCTGCAGGAGGGCGTGCACCCCGGCCCCAGGCCCCAGGGTGGACCTGGCCAGGATCGGCGCATGTGTACGGTCGGGGCCCTGAGGAAGGAACCCTTTTCGTTGGGGAGGGGCTCCGCGTTCCTTAAGTGTTTCACAGCTTGCCTCAGGCTTTCCTTATGTTTCCGACAGGAAATCGAAGGTCAACTTATGGAAAAAGGGGCCTCGTTCCTTGTTTAGGGTTCCTTAGGTCAAGGCCCCGACTGTACGGTCGAGCAGGTGACGAGCTAACCTCCTCACCGAAAAGCCAGGCCAGCATGGTTTGACCAGCGTGCCAGACAGTTGGCCCATCTTCTGAAGCACGTGCGCCCCTCCAGCGCTGGCACGAAAGAATGGCCCAGGTAAGGCTCAAGAGACTTCCGGAAAGCTGGCCCCGATTTCTTCAATTCTAGCTCACCAAACAGTGCTTGCATGTAAGGGTTTCAACTTCTTCTCGCAAGAACTGGGCTGGTGTAGCGGTCTTGCAGCTATGTTGCCGCCGTCGCCGCCCCGTCGCCGCCTCGTCGCCGCCCCTCGTCGGAGCCGGTGTGGTAGTCTTGCTGATATGTCACCGCCGTCGCCGCCCCGTCGCCGTTTCGTCGCCGCCCGTCGTTTGGGCTTGAATGGCAGTCTGGCGGCTGTGTTGTCGCCGTCGTCGCCCAGTCGCCGCCTCGTCGCCGCCCGTCGCCGCCGTTGGATTACACCATATCGATTGCTTAACTTCTTTATTATAAAGGAACTGCTCCTGGCTGTCGGCCTGGCGGCTATTTTGCCGTTGTGTTGCTCTGCTTCGCATTGCGCTTCTTTGCGTTGCTTTGCATTACTTTGCGTTGCTCTGCGGTGCATTGCATTGCTTTGCGTTGCTTCGCACTGCATTTTTGTGCATTGCATTGCATTGCATTGCATTGCATTGCATTGCATTGCATTGCATTGCATTGCATTGCTGTGCATTGCTGTGCATTGCATTGCTTCGCGTTGCATTGCACAATACATGATGCACCACATAGATGGCACGACACAAATTGCACAACATGTATTCGACAACAGGTTTGACCACATTGATTGCACCACATAGACTGCACAACATATATGACACTACGCAGATTCTCTAGTTTAAAGGAGTCTTAGGATCTCCCTCCCTGGAATGAACGACTCCTTTTTTCGTATTGCAATTTACATACGATTGTGCCCCATCGTCCATCCTGAATAGAACTCAGAATTACCATCACAGGCAGTTCAGTATCGGTACCCACATCATCTTCTGCAAAACAAAAACATATGCACGCACCCTCGTTTATTAGAAGTCATAATTTCCCCCGAATCCCTTGCAAACGAAAAACAGGACGAAGTGCACACCCGCGCGTCGTCGCGCGCGCATGCTGAAGTTATTCTAAAATCGTAGGTTGCGTAAGGATTTCAAGTCGAGTGTCCCGAAACATCAAAGCATTGTTTCGCGACAAGAACACGTTCTACAAAAGAACAACAGCCAAAAATATTGCGCTCGGGCCCTTGCGAATGCGTAGGACAACCATCGGTTTTGCCACCTTTCCATACCTTGCTACCAGACGGGCCTCTCGTGCGCGCATGTCGGAGTCGATCGAACGGCCTTGCGCGCGTGTTGTCGCAAGAACCCTTGGCAAAGGATAGGACGATGTGCACACGCGCGCGTCGTCGCGCGATCATGCCGAAAGATTTCAAAAACCATAGGTTTCGCAAGGATTTCAACATCGAATGTCCCGAACACATGATTTTACAACATCAGGCTTCAAAAATGTCTGCGCTCGCGTTCCAGTGAATTCTTAAGGAGACCATCGATGTGTCAACATTTTCGCTAAATTCTGCCAAACGGGCCCCTCGCGCCGCACGTCGAAATCATTCGAACGCCCTTGCGCGCGTGCTGGGCGGGGCACGATCCGTGTCAAATAATACCATGCGGGCCACTCGCGCGTCGGCCGCGCGCGCATGCCGAACTCCTTCCAAAACCTTCATCACCGACTCGAGGGCGCCGTCATCGTCGTCGGCGTGATCAGCATCAGCACCGTCACTGGCCTTGCCGTCGTCGTTGTCATCATCGTCACCAGCATCGCTACCATCATCATCGCGTCTACTCCTGTCGACGTTGCCATGATATCACGCCCGCCCAAGTCGCCGACTCGCATAGAAGTGCCCGCGGGGAAGTGCCCAGCGGTCAGCGCCACCGCGGCCGCGTCGGTGTCGCCAAACTATCTGGCCGCTGCGCGCGCGAGCATCCACGGGCTAGCGCGGCCGCAGAGATGCACCAGCCAACTCCAAGAACTTATCACATTCGCCGCCGCATGCGTTTTGCAAACCTAGTTACGGGTGGGTGGGTGGCATGATTGCGCGACCAGTGGAGTGGACAATTTACTGCGAGTTGAATTTAATGTTCCTTTCTTAAAAGAGAAGAGACCCTACCCCCCCCCCCGGCGTTATCGCCCCCCTTTCGGGTATGTAAATCATATACGATTCTGACCACATGTCCATCCTAAATGTGAATTTACACTATCCCCGGGGGGCCGGTATCCCCCCCCCCTGAGGGCCCCTTGCAAAAAAAAACATTATGCGGTGACAGTTTTGGTTCTAACATAGCACTTTTTCACGAATCCTTTGCAAAAAACGGAACGAAGTGCGCACGCGCGCGTTGTCGCGCGCGCATGCCAGAATCCTTCAAAAACCTTCGGTGCCGGAGGGATTTCGCAATCGAGTTTCCCAAAACAACATACAAAAACACAGAGTTTCGCAACATGGATTTGCTAAAAAAGCTTCCGCGAAAGCTCTTGTGAAATTTTAAGAAAACCATAGGTTCTTCAAGATTTTCCCAACCTGCTACCAAACGAGCGTCGCGCGCGCGCATGTCGAAATCTGTTGAACGCCCTTGCGCGTGTGCCGTCGCGAGAATCCTCTGCAACAAATGGGACGAAATGCAGACGCGCGCGTCGTCGCGCGCGTATGCCGAAGACCTTCAAAACCCATCGGTTTCGGAAGGATTTCAAAATCGTGTGCCCAAAAAACCTACAAAAACACAAGGTTTCGCAACACGGATTTTCAACAAAAGCGTGCGCGCGCGCTCTTGCGGCGTCGTCGTCGTCGTCGTCGTCGTCGTCGTCGCCGTCCTCCCTCCTCCCGCGTCGTCGTCGTCGTCGCCTACGTCGTCCTCTGTCTTTCCTCGTGTTCGTCGTCGTCGTCCTCTTTGGCGTCGTGGTCGTTTCCGTTGTCGCCGTAGTCGTCCTTTCTCCTCCTCCCTCGTCGTCGTCGTCGTCGTCGTCCGTCGTCGGCGTCTCGTCGTCGTCCCTCCTATTTCGTCGCCGTCGTCGTCGTCGTCGTTGTCGTCGTCGTCTTCCCTCCTCCCTCGTCGTTGTCGTCGTCGGCGTCGCCGTCCTTCCTCCTTCTTCGTCGTCCTCGTTGTCAACGTCGTCCTCCCTCCTCCCTCGTCGTTTTCGTCGTTGTCGTCGTTGTCGCCGTCGTCGTCCTCCCTCCTCCCTCGTCGTCGTCTTCGTTGGCGCCGTCATTGTCGTCGTCGTCGTCGTCATCGTCGTCGTCGTCGGCGTCGTCGTCGTCGTCGGTGTCGTCGTCGTCGTTGTCGTCGTCGAAGTCGTTGGAGACGTTGTCGGTGTCGTCGTAGTCGGTGTCGGCGGCGACGTCGTCGTCGTTGTCGCTGTCGTCGCCGGCGTCGGTGTCATGGCCAAGTGCCATGTGGTACCTACCGTCACGGTCTTGTCTTAAGATGTCTTGCGACCAAGTTGCGGGTGGGAGGGTGGGATGTTTGCATATGTTTGCACCACGAGCAGCGGGGAGACAGCTTCAAGACGGTCAAAGTGGATTCTCATTTCTAAAAATAGAATAGACTCTACCCCCCCCCGGCGTTATCGCCCCCCCTTTCGGGTATGTAAATCACAAATGATTCTGACCACATGTCCATCAATATGAAATCACAATGTCCCAGGCCAGCCGGTATCCCCCCCCTGAGGTTCCCTTGTAAAAAACATTATGCGGTGACATTTTTTGTTCTAACATAACATTTGTTTCACGAATTCCTTACAAAAAAACGAGACGAAATGCACACGCGCGCGTCGTCGCGCGCGCATGCCGAAATCCTTCAAAAACATTCGGTGCCGGAAGGATTTCGCAATCGAGTTTCCCAAAAAACATAAAAGCACAGGGTTTCGTAACACTGATTTGCTAAAAAAGCTTCCGCGAAAGCTCTTGCGAAATTTTAAGAAAACCATAGGTTCTTCAAGATTTTCACAACCTGCTACCAAACGAGCGTCGCGCGCGCGCATGTCAAAATCTGTCGAACGCCTTTGCGCGTGTGCCGTCGCGAGAATCCTCTGCAAAAAATGGGACGACATGCAGACGCGCGCGTCGTCGCGCGCGTACGCCGAAATCCTTCAAAACCCATCGGTTTCGGAAGGATTTCAAAATCGCGCGTCCAAAAAACCTACAAAAACACAAGATTTCGCAACACGGATTTTCAACAAAAGCGTGCGCGCGCGCTCTTGCGTCGTCGTCGTCGTCGTCGTCGCCGTCCTTCCTCCTCCCGCGTCGTCGTCGTCGTCGCCTACGTCGTCCTGTGTCTTTCCTCGTGTTCGTCGTCGTCGTCCTCTTTGGCGTCGTGGTCGTTTCCGTCGTCGTTGTCGCCGTGGTCGTCCCTCCTCCTCCCTCGTCGTCGTCGTCGTCCGTCGTCGGCGTCTCGTCGTCGTCTTCCCTCCTCCCTCGTCGTTGTCGTCGTCGGTGTCGCCGTCCTTCCTCCTTCTTCGCCGTTCGCGTCGTCGCCGTCCTCCATCCTCCCTCGTTGTCGTCGTTGTCGTCGTTATCGTCATTGTCGCCGTCGTCATCCTCCCTCCTCCCTCGTCGTCGTCTTCGTTGGCGACGTCGTCGTCGTCGGCGTCGGCGTCGGCGTCGTCGTCTTCGTCGTCGTCGACGTCGGCGTCGTCGTCGTCGCCGCCGTCGTCGTCGTCGTCGCCGTCGTCGTCGGCCGCCTTGCTTCTCCGGCCTTCTTGGGGCGCTCTTGAGACGCCCCCGAGGGCTCCAAGACTACCCCGGAGCGATATTTGTGCTCGGTCCCGCATGGGTTTTGCAAACCAAGTTGCGGGTGGGTGGGTGGGATGATTGCGCGAGCAGTGGAGTTGACAAGTTCAAGTTCGGCAAGTGATTAGTTGCACCACATATATTGTTCCACTTAGATTACACAAGACAGACTGCACCACATATTTTTCGAAGGCCTCATGGACGGTGCCGCCGACCCGACAACGACGACGACGACGACGACGACGACGACGACGACGACGACGACGACGACGACGACGACGTCGGCGGCGGCGGCGGCGGCGGCGACGACGACGACGACGATATTGACATGGGTCAGAGTCCTCAGCGATTCTTCTTGGGGTCCCTTGGGAGTGATCACGGGGACTTTTGGGGGGCGGTTTTGGAGCCTCTTGGGGGCCACGTGGGTGCCTCACGGAAACCTCTTGGGGAACTCTTGGTGCTTCTTGGGAGCCGTTTGGGGTCCTCTTGGGCCGATTTGGGGGGCCTCTTGGGCCGTCTTGGAGCGTCGGGAAGCCGAAAAGGTGTAAACGCCATTTTTTTTTTTGAAAAAGCCAAGAGGAAGCAATACAGTTTACTTGCTGGGAGTGCTCTTGGAAGCCTCTTGGGGCGTCTTGGAGGCTTCTTAGGCTGTCTGGAGGCTATCTTGGTCGTCATGGACAGCGTTCGGCCATTCGGGGCCCTCTTGGACCGTCTTGGGGTCCTCTTGGGGCACTCTGCGCATCTTGTGTTTTTTTGGGGCTCGAGGACCCCCCCGGCGAGATGGCATTCTGACCCGGGACACCCCCCCCACTACCCCTCTCCCGGGACCCCCCCCTTTTGGCAGGGGAGGGATCAAAGAGAAGGAATTTCTTTACGGCTTAACTACAACGTCATTCAAAGTCCTTGTTCCTTAATTTCCTTGGGACTGACGGCGACGACGATGAAGACTCAAACGGAAAAGCGTCTAACATACGCCGAAGGGTCGGCGGATTCCACCACATATATTGCACAGCTAACTTTTCACCACATAGATTGCAACACATAAATTGTTTCACATAGATTCTCCTTTCTAAAAACAGAATAGGATCTACCCCCCCCCCGGCGTTATCGCCCCCCCTTTCGGGTATGTAAATCACATAGGATTCTGACCACATGTCCGTCCTAAATGTGAATTTGCAGTATCCCCGGGGGGCCGGTATCCCCCCCTTGAGGGTCCCTTGTAAAAAAACACTATGCGGTGACATTGTTTGTTCTAACATAACACTTGTTTCACGAATCCCTTGCAAAAAACGAGACGAAATGCACACGCGCGCGTCGTCGCGCGCGCATGCCGAAATCCTTCAAAAACCTTCGGTGCCGCAAGGAATTCGCAATCGAGTTTCCCAACAAACATACAAAAACACAGGGTTTCGTAACACTGATTTGCTAATCC